TTGTCACAGATCATTTTTGCATGCTGTTACATTCCTGACATGCATTTCTCCTGTCCTGCAGTTTAACTTTTTCTGAAGTATGCTAGGGAATGTATTGAAACTGAGAAAGCTGGGCTGTCAGAGTTCTGCATTTTAAAACAGGGTACTTTGATTAAAGAAACATAATTTCTGTCTGTATGGAAAATACTGTACTTTGGCATAGCCAGACGTTTTGATAAAGAGATAGGCTTTCAGGCTGTGTAGAAATTATAGCAAAGGCTGTGGTTACTGGTATAGTTCTGGAAGTGGAAAAAGGGACAGAAAGGTAAAAAAGTGTCTTAAAAGCAGTATTTTGCTGTTTTTAACTAAGCTTTGGGCAGTTTTCATTCTTTCATTCATATGTTTATATGCATCTCTGTTTGAAAAATGAAGTGAAAGTGAGAAGTATACAGGATTAGATTTATTTATCAAGTAGAGCATTTGTTACTCTCTAATTTGTTTCTTTATTTTTTTTTCCCCTGTTCTGTTTCTGGTTGGCTTATTCCCCATCTCACTACCTTCAGATTCCTTGTCTGCTTCTCACCCAGATTTTTTGATTAATAGTGTTTTAAACAATGTCATTCCAAACTGGTTACATTTAGTCATCTTTTCCTTCAGTGTGATGACTAAATGTTGTGAGTTGGGGTTTTTTTGTTGGTTTTTTTTTTCCCCCGAACTTTAAAGCTTGAATTAATTCCACTAAGTACTCTGGGCGACTTTGTTATAGTCAGAATCCAATGTCCAAATTATAATTCAGTGTACTCTCCCCATGGGTATTTGGAAGTTACACAGTGTGCAGTGCCTTCCTTTTAAAAATCATTTCCAAATTGGAGTCCTGCTGCACATGATTCCTGAGCTCCCTGCTGATCCAGGACAAGCTGCAGTCCTGCCTTAGAAAGTGGATAAAGGCTCCTTGGCCAGACTTTCTTGTGATACCAATTCATTAATTTCAATGTGCTTTCAGCTTTGGCGTAGATTGCTTCTAACGCTGTTCACCTCCTTTATGTTCTTGGATATTCCTAATGAAATCTGATCCTGAAGGCTCCAATCTAAAAGTTACTCTTTTCAGTATCTCTGAATTACTATTTCTACAAACTTCTTTCCTGGCACAACTGTGTTTGCGAAGAATGCTGTGATAGCACTTGCTGAACAGCATTTAAAATATATATTTAATTTTAATTTTTTTGTATTATATATGCAGGTTTTATGAGAGAGAAACTTCCAGGTATTCAGTAAAAGTTGCACAATTGTATGTGTAAATACAAAAAAACAAATACAATACTGTGTGGCTTGAGGGTATTCAGCAGTATGCTGCTCTTGGCTGAAGAACAATAGCCATTAATTTAATAAATTACTTTGGTAGTTAATATTTTAGCTTATAAATCTTTTCAGTACAGTCTTAGAATGAACAGAAGTATTGGCAGAATACTTTATATAAAAATATGTAATATGTATATAAATACAAGTATATGTGTCTGCTTGTATATAAAACCATATGGTACAGTTATATTTAAAAATGTAAATCTCTGCAATTGATTCCAAAATTATTTTCTGTCCTGTCCATTAAAAAGTTTTACATTTAGATACATTTTTATAGTAGTGTTCCTAAATACAGGTGCAAATAATTTAAATGTTTTTAAATTGCCCTGTATTTTATTTAATGTCAAGAAGCAAAGTATTCATAAAGAATTAAGTGGGATTAGTTTAAAGTGTGCTTTTACATTGTTGACTGTTACTTCAGTAGAAGTATTGTTTGGGTTCTGCCTTTTAGCAGCTGTCATTCCTTGTGCTGTTTTTTTCACTAATATTATGTTTAAAGACATTTTTATGTGGGTTATTTTCTCGAATCGTCTTCACTAAGAATGCTGAAATCCTGTTTTTAGCAGAATTACAGGTTTTTCTTACCCCATTAGAGGGGAAAGAGGGATGGCACTGGGGGTGTCTGGGAGCCTTGTGTCCTGATATGACTGTGGGGTGTTAGCTGCCAAAGGATAGGTGTGGAAAACAAAGTGTTCTAAAATCTGTGCCCTTGTCAAACCTTAGTCTTGTGAGGACTTGGCTATTTTGTGGTTGCCCAGCTGTCAAGTGTGGTGCTCACCCATGGCTCTTCTTTGAAGCCATCAGCTAGAAATCATACACAGATTTACTTCTTGTCTTGTAGGTAACAGAGAGCTGAGAAAGTCACTTTTGGGTTCAAATGTCATTTCCAGGGCTACTTCACAGATCTTGACATCCAAAATAGATCAGATGACTTGTTCCCCCAAATTTCCTTCCTTTGCACTGTGAAATGCAGGGAACTGCAATGCAGTGACTGGCTCAGCAATTGATACTTAGAGATAGAAGAATGTGTCTTCTGTGGAAGCTGAATGTGCAGCTGCTTTCTACCAATTCACTGTGCAGCTGGTACCTGGTTGATGCTGGGTCTTTTGGAAGAGGGCCAGAAAAGTCACTTACTTGGGTAAGGAGCTTTCCTTCAATGCTTTCAATGTTACATGTTAACTGCTGTCCTTGTTGATTTGGGTCCGGAGAGCTCTCTCCTTACTTTCCTTCAATGCTTTCAATAAAGATCCTGAAATGAATACCTACATGTTAACTGCTGTCCTTGTTGATTTGGGTCCGGAGAGCTCTCTCCTTGCAATGCAGTATTTTCAGCTTTCTACTAGCTCTGGGACTGATGGAATAACAACTATTTATAAAAGAAAACAGTAATGCTGTCTTCCTTGAAACTCATATTATTATTTCAGAATAGATTATGTGGTGTAACATTTCATGAGTTTTTCTTATTTAGCCTAGATACTCTGGGATTAAACAAAGTTTTTATTTTAACTAGAGTCTGAATACAGACTCGGATATCTTGCTATTTTTCCGTGTTCAGTTTGGCCCTCAAATGTCTTCTGCCTGCCTATAATTAAGCTGTTCAACAAAGACATAGTTTTGCTTCTCATTTGTTACAATAGCTGTTGTGAGCTTTCAAATTTCTAACAGCTAACAAAATACTGTCAGCAGGAGTATCTAAGAGAAAGACAAAGAACTAGAGTTGTCTAAGTCAGAAAATCCATGAATAAATCATTAAGGGTACTGCAGTACCTGTTTTGAAGGTTATATGATTTTAAAAAGTATTCTTTTTCCCCTTCATTTCATTAGATATTCACCTTTTTTAGGTTATAAAATGTGTGGGGAGAAGAGCCAAGACTTTCTTTAAAAACAAATGACTTTGGGTAGTTTTGTACTTCTGTTTTCTGTGCGGCACCGCTTCTCAAGTCCCCTCACTCCATCATAGCCATATGCCTTGTGCATTCTGAGAGGCTTTAAATGGTGCCCTGGAAGGTTTGTTGTTGCTTCCTAGGACTTGGAATTTCTTTCTTGGGTTGCTGTTTTGGTTAGGGGATTGTTATGTGCTTGGTTCAAGTAGCTTTTGCCACCAGACAGAGGGCTGCTTACAGCTGTTGTGTGGGAGTGGGAGAGGCAAAGGAATTAACATGTGCCTGTTTCTGGGCATTTCTGGGAAACAAAGGACAAGGAAAGCAAATTGTGTGCTTCCACCACTCTAGGTCATTAAAGGTCTAATCTGAAGCTTGCTGATTTTCAGTGAGTTTTGGATTACTGCATGGCTGAGTTAGAGGCAAATTAATTCAGCAACTTCCATTTCATTCGAATGGAAAGGTGTAAAGTCCTTTCCTGATGGCTGTGGATGAGCACACCACAAATTGGCTGGCTAATAAATTTCAGTGGGGCTTCAATTAATCCAAGAGTGAGCTGTCAGTGAAGGGGATGCCGACATTTCCATGATATCTTTCCTTTGCAGCCCTTTCCTGACCACTCTTGGAACACTTGTTTGGCATCCTGATGCTCCAGCTAGAAACATATCCCATGGGAAACTGCTTTCAGCTGAATCCCTTGCCCTTTGCTCTGCTGCTGGGATGTACAGATGCTGCAGAGGAAGCACTGGGAAGGCAGGAGGTGGGACTGTTCCTTTCAGCAGTAGAGGGATCTTTGTTGGACTTTTTAGCTTTTTGGAAAATGATACGTTCAGTGGAGCTGCATGGCAGATGAGAATTAAGTAGAGCACATCTTAGAGATTTTCACCTCCCAGGAGAGCAGACGTTTCTTGAGATTTGGCAGTTGTCCTTGAAGTTTGGTTTATATGCTTCCTATCTGCAGTAATTTTATTTTACTTTTTATTGCATTAATCTTTTTAGATCCCTCTTTGCTTTTTATGCCTGTCACTTCCCTGAGCAGAACTAAAATAGCTCCAGTTAAATAAAAACAATGGATAACTAAAACTAAATAGTTTTACTTATGAAAGCTTACCTTGGATTTCATGTGAGCTTTAAAATGAATTTACTATGCTAAAAATCCTTTGACAGAGATAGGAAAAAGTAGCAATTTGCTAAACAATGCCTTTGTTAAAGTTTTATTGGAAGAGCATTAAACTTTTGTTTTAATAAATGGACACTTTACCAATACTTATAGACAATGAATGTCTTGTCAAGTTCAGAATACAGACATGAGTTCTTTTAACATAATTTAGGTTTTAATGTACTATTTATGGAAACTGAATATTAGGATATGCAGACACTCAGATTAGATCACTGATATGTTCTGATATCTTCTTTAGGTTTGTAGAATTTCCTGGCAATGGGAAATTTGTTTTGCTACTTTTTGAGATGGGGAGACATTTCCTTTTCAAGAGCTTTGGGAAATACCAAGCTATTGTTTTGGTACATGGAGAGTTACTGCTGTAAAAAACTTGATATTTTTGTCCTTTTTTTTTAAAAACAAGGAATACAAAGAATCATTCAAATCTACAGCAGTGGTGGGAGGATGTGCTTTCTGCGGGGACACCGTGGTACATTCCATCCCATGGAATGCTCTTGGTGTGGCATTTAGCAAAATGTGTTTCTTAAGAGCTTCAAGAAAGGGCAGCTAAACTGTAAAGATGAATGCAATGGGAGCCTTCCCTGCAAGATGGCATGCCTTCCCTAGGCTCCTGCAGCAGGCATTTATTGCCAGTGTAGGGGATGGGACTCTGCTGCTGGACAGCGTTCTTGGAGCATTTGTGGATTAAGCCAAATTACAGGAGGCACACTCCTGTGTGTCCCAGAAAGCAGAAGGATTACCTGATCACATATAGTTCCTGGTGAGCAAATTGAAGTGATTCGTTTGACTAAATAGGATAAATTGTTTATTGTTCTTCAGATGTTTATGTAGTCATGTTGGAAACTGCAGCTAATCTGCAATCATCTGCTGTCTGCTTTTTATGCTAATATGGAGTTATTTTGCAAGGGTTTGGGAAGGAAATCCATTTTAGGGTTTATTGATCTTTGTGGTATTGACTGCCTGCAAAATAGTTTCCACAGATGGTAAATCAAACTCATATTTTTAACTTGAGGTGGTGAAATGGAATGTTGTCCTACATCTACTTCATAATGAAATCCAGCAAAGAGCATAGCAATTGTGAGTTGGGTTTTGGTGTTTTCTTTTGCTGTTTTGTTTTGTAACAAAGCTTACTAGACTATTTCTTAAACCCTAAGAGTTTTATTAGAGCAAGTGTGGCTATTTCTGTGCTTTTGGGTGGGGGAGAGTTGGGAACAATAACTTTTTATCTACAAAAAGAAATTAGATTGGTAGAATGTAGTGGTGATTATGGCAAATATTCAGTGAGAAATAATTCCAAAATTAAGCTCCAGTGTGTCGGTTATGAGGATTTCTAAATAACAGAATACTGCTAAATGTAAAAAGAAAGAAGAATTGCAGGAATGAGGCATTTTCTTTAAAATGTGCTTGTCACACGTTTGATTCTCTACATTTCTTCTTCACAGGCAATACCAGATTGCAGTTAATGCAAGATGGCAATTATTTTAGGTGTCTCTATTTTGATGAGGGGCTACAGTTTTCAGAATTATAAAAATAGTTCAGAAAGAATTGAGTGAGATTGCAGAAGGAAACAAATTGGTCAGATTTAGACAAAATCTTCCTTCTGAATTGGCAGGCAGGAAGAGTATAAAATTTTATGTTTAAATGTACACTTTAAAGAAGATAGGTTTGAGCCAAGACAGGTTTAAGCCAAGAATACAATGGTGTATGATTTTAGCTACATATCTGAATATTCCTGAGACAGTGGGAAAGGTTTTGAGCCAAGACAGGTTTAAGCCAATGGTGTATGATTTTAGCTACATATCTGAATATTCCTGAGACAGTGGGAAAAAAGAAATACTGGAATAAAATGTAATTTGAAAACATTCTCATCAAAATCTGTGTTATGGGAATGTCATCTATGTTTAAAATAAAAATAAGTTGTACTTCTTATTTCAAACATCTCAGTGTTTGTATCTCTCTGAGGTGGACAATGAGCATCAGTGGTGTAATTTTCCATTTCTCTCTTTGTTTATGCTTCATCTTTATTCAGAGTGGGAACATTCAGCTCCATGAAAATAATGGAAGTGTTCTAGTCTTCTGAAGAGTGCACCCAGAGGACCAAAGGAGCTCTGTGTGTGAGGAGGGTCTTTTTTGAATTTTGTTGAAACTGATTTTTGTCAGATCCGTTTCCAGGTGATGGGGACAAGGAACTTGCAGTTGGCAAAGTATGTCGAGGCTTCCATAATTCTTTTTGTCAGCCTGTACTTTTCTGCAGGAGCCTGTCAGTCCTCATTAGAGAACCAGCTTTTTGTGATATGCTAGTTCTAGGTTTTGCAGGGACTATCTGCTCCTGACCCTGCCTTCCTGGTACTGCTTGTTCTGGGAAACCTGCAGGTGTGTAATACTCCCTTGGTATAGATTCTTTTGTTGTTTGTTTTCTGCATTTCCCTGCTCTAATATAGTGAAGAGGTCAGGATGTGGAAGGAAAATAGTGTCATAAATAAATAAATTGTATTCAACTTCTTCACAAAGACCCACAGGAGCCCTTTGTAAAAAGCTGTTTTGTAGCCAGTTGGTCTCCAACCTTTGCTGCACGGGCTTATTCCATCCCATGAGCCTGCGTTTGTCAAAGAACCTATAGTACTCCAAAGACAGAGCATTTCTTCACCCTCCAAATGGCAGCTCTACATAGCCTTTAGTCTAGTGTTGTTTGAAACTGTCTTAGTAAATTTAAAAGTTTTATTAAGCTTGGATTTTGGTTGAATTTTGCATTGCTTTCCTTTTTAGCTCTGTGCTGTGAAGAGTGGCTTTATATGTCAAAGCACCTTTAAAGGCAAGCCTGAATTTTAGCATCTTGTTTTAGCATCTTATGAGCACACAAAGAGCTTATCTATTCTGGCTTAGTTGGCTTCAGTAACATAATACAGCTATGAAACTTCATAAATTTGGCAAACCCAGAAAAGGAATGCTTGTTGTATTGGATGTTTTTTCAAAGAATGGTAGAGAGCTTTGTAAGAGAGTTGTTTGTTCAGATCTTCATTGTTTATTGTGATTTTCAGTGTATGAGCTAAAATATTTGCAAGTAAATATTTGTTTTTAAAAACCTTTTTTTTGTTTTCAATCAAACCACTGCTACTGAAGAACTCTGTTATTGTCAGTGATGCTATAGCAAAACTTCAAGCCAGTTACAGTCAACTTAAAAATGTCAGTGCAGGCATCTGAAATTGCCTTGCCTAATTGTTCTGTAAAACTCTGCTGTGCTTGGCTCAAATGATTACTTTTCTGTGTATGTTACTTGGATCTTTGTTGTGAGGGACTACAACAGCTTTATGAGAAAATCACCAAATTGCCTTTGCTTCTTTGTGGAATTTACTTGAATGGAACTTTTTTGGGGGGCCACTTATGACAATAGTTTATATGGCTTGTTTAGTTTTAAAAGGGTATGTAGAAATGGGAGGTAGATGGGTCAGCTGAGAAATAGTAAAGCCGAAGAATTGTACTTGGTTTTGCTTTATTTAAATTCATTTTGAGATTTTGAGCTACTCTCTCTACAAGGTCAAGTTCTGGTTTTGTGGTGTTTTTTTTTTTTTTTTTTTTTTTAGGGGAAAGGGAAAAGAACATACAAGGGAAATGGTTAGGGTTTAGAAGTTAGGAGCAACTTCTGAGTAAAATGAGATGAACAGCATGATTGTGCACCTGATTATAATTCATCTGTGGAGTGCAATAGAATGTCTGGAATCTCTACTTCTTTAGAATTGCTTAACATTTTCTAGATTTACTGGCCTCTTACTCCTTATTTATACCCACATATTTATCTCTTTTCTTTTTTTTTTTCTTCCTGAGCCTATTCAGGGCTTATTTTTTTCCTCTTAAAATGTGAGTATTAGGACCATTCTTATAAGATGAACGCATGCATTCTCAAGTCATTACATGATTCCAGGAGCTGGGGTCTGAGTAAAGATGCCAAATACCACCTCTGTTTCCAAATGGCAGCTCTTAGCTGCCTGCCAGAAGCTTTTTGTTGGCTTGAAGGCCAGGCTGGCTCAGAGTCTTGGAAATGTGCATTTCCCTGACTAATGCCCCTCTGCGTGACTCTTCTTGCTGAAGCACTAACGAGCAGGTTCCTCTTAGCCAAATTTATTCCAGTGTGGTTGTTCTTCTCAGCTGTTCCATGGCCAAGTCTGGTACTTATGGTGTATTGATTAAAAATACATGAATGTTTCATTTAACATAATATTTATTTCTAGCATAAGTAAGAGCTTAGCAAATCCATCCTCTTTTCCCCCTCCCCCCAACACTTTTGAAAAAGAAAAGCTGTGTGACAAGGATTGTGCTTAAATTCTTTGGGGCTTGAAGGGGCTGTAAAAACACTCCACTCTTCCATCCAACGTAGCATTCCAATCCTTCACTGTCATCCCTGATCAGTCAGGTAAGGTGATGCTTCATTTTGGGAAGAGTTAAATATTGAAGGAGGTTGATGAGAGGAGGGGTGGAATTTCCCTTGCCGGAAGTATTCAAGATTCAGTTTGGATGACTCTGGATCATCTAAAGTCTCATTTTCAGTAAAAGATTGGGCCAGATGATTGCCTGAAACCTCTTCTTTTCTAGGCTTTTCTGTTTCCCTGTGATTCTTCACTGGGGAAGGGTGAGGCTTACACTCCAAACGTACTTTCTTCCTTAATTTGGGGCAAGATTTTTGGGTATTGCTGTTTCTCCTTTTATGGATGAAGCAGGAATATCTTTTCTCTAGATTTAGTTAGATCATTTGGTGCTTTTAACATCTGTGCCTCAGTAGGTTGGACATCCTGGCTGCACAGGTTGAACAGCAACAAAGTAGGTTTATCATTCTGGGACAATCCAATGAATCCAGAGCAGGCTGGGATTCCTGACATGATGGACTTAGCATCATATCAGAAGAAGGTCTATTCCTAATGAAATTTTGAATGATAATTCAGCTCCTACTTTCCCAGCAAGAAGAAAATGCCCTTGTCATTAATTTGGTTGGTGGGGGAGTAAGAAGGAGATTGCAGTACTGTTGCTGGAACCAAGGCAGTTTAAGGACACAAGAAAAGAAGAGTTAAATCTACTTTGCACAGTAGCTTAGCAGGGTAAACTCATAACAGATTATCTTCTAATATGTTACAGATGAAAGATTTCTATTGAGAATTCTTGATTCAGAAGTTTTGAAGTTTGAAACAAGTAGGTGTTTGCACAATTGGAGAAGTTTCGTGGTTTTAGAGATGTAGCAGAACCCAAAATATTTATTGATATTTACAAACAGCAACAAGTCCTTTGCACGTCAGTGTTATGAAATACTGGTGAATTGCCTTTTGTTTCTAATGTCTGCAAGCAGGTATTGACTCAGTTGTGTCTTCTGATTTTCACCACGTTACCTCATGGACTGATTAATTGCATCTGGGCGGGGTTTTTTTTGTTTGTTTGTTTGAGGGCTTTTTTCTTTTTCCTGTGCATACTAGATTGTGTTAGAAATAAATGTAGGCAACTTAAGATTCTGACTTGCACTAACTATTGGCAGTCTGGTATCTGTTGGTCTCCTGCTATTCCTGTTTTTTGAGGAAGGTAATGAAGGTGTATTTTCTGGTATTTGTATTCCTGGTTGGCTGGTTTGTTTTTAAGCAGAGCAGCCCTACACCCCACAGAGCAGAGGGCTATCAGATGTCAGTGTCCCATCTGCAGTTGCTCTGCCTCAGACACCAGCTTGGCTTTGCTTCAGCTCCTGTGTTTCACCCAATCCATGAGCCCTGGCTTGTTCAAATGACA